CCCAACCCTCTTTTTTGCAGCTTCCAACCATGCTAGTAGAGGAAACCAGCATCTCTCAAGTCACATTAATGAAGCTCCCAAAGAACCTACCTGATAGTTACAAAGTGAAGGTACCACATCCAGGCCTATATGTATACATGAAAGCTCCCTATTGCAGTCAATTTTGCGTTCTCTTGGATTGCTATAGTTGTCATGATGTAATTTTACAGTGGGCACTATCGCTCATAACATTTAGTTCTATACATGAATGTGTTCTGAATAGGACAGATTTCCTATAGAAAACCTCAGCTATACTATATGCTATAGCACAGTGTTTCTCAACCTTGACAATTTTAAGGCATGTGGACTTCAACTCCCAGAATTCCACAGCCAGCAATGCTATAGCAGAATGTCTCCAAAGTCAGCCTTGCCCGCTTCACAGGATTAACTCTTTCCTATAATTAAAGACAATAATATAAAATATATGACTTCCAGTTGTCAAAAAATGACCAGTCCCTTAACAAGTAAGGAAATCTTTTTTTTTCCTCACCAAATACCTGAAAGCCTAATTTAAAGTGTATTTAAAAGGAGCTATTTCTAATGGACATCATTTTTACTCTTAGATGCAACTAGATCCATGGTCCTGCAGAGACCTAGTTGTTGGTGTCAGAAATGGGGTCAGTGGGTACAGGATGCACATCATCTGAAGTTTAGAGATATAGCCAAGGGCTATGAGAATGGACTCCAGAGCAATACGTAAAGCTTTGAAAAGAAGAAGAAGAAAAGAAAAAAAACCCCAGAGGAGAGCAGAAAAACAGTTTGCCATTGGCTCTCTGAAAATGCTAATGCTAAAGTTGCTGGCAATCTTACAGCACATGTAAGATAAGATAACCTTTATTGTAATTTTTCTTTTTACTGTGGGCACAACGGCACACATCAAAAATGAAATTTAGTTGCCCGCTCTCAAAGTGAACACATACATGTATGTGAAAAGGAGTTACCGAGGAGAGAGAAAAGCAAATCAGATATATGGCAGAATGGCCATGTATTCTGGGCTTCCCCGCAGACAGTCCCTGAAGCAGTTCTACAGTCTTGGATCTGACAGATATTTCAAGTCTTGAGTCCTTGTAAGACGTCCTTTAGGCTGGCAGCTGACAACTGCCTAGTCTAAAAATCTGCTATAAATATGAAATGGTAGCCTGTGCGGCCTGTTTCCTGAATCCCCCTATAGCTGAATCCAGTAAATGACATCTGGAAAAGGGGGAGTATGATCTATTCAGTATATAGATGTGGCTTACATTGTGTCTTATTTTTCCTACGCTTGGCTTCACCAGATTCCCCTGAAGGCGGGGACCAAAAGCCATCTGATTGAGACACTGGACAGAATAATCCTGCGGTGAAAGACTATGCTGTCATTATTGATCTCTTTTTCGGGTCTTCTGTGTAACTTACCCTCTTTCCTTAAGGAGTTATTTGTGCTCTGATATGAGAAATACACACATAACAAATGCTGATAGTGTTATTTGTTCAGTCATATGACAGGGTTGTGTTTTTCTGACAGAGCTCCAGTTGCCTTAAAGAATGGTCTGACAAGCCAAACTGTATTAGGTGAAGCTTCTCTTATAATTTCACATCTGTGACATGAAATATTTTCCTGCTAATTTTCTGCTAGGTATTTTTGCAATTCTTTGGTGAAAGGAGCCATACTCAACCTTTGAGAGAGAGGGGGGAGTCCGAGTGGGCATGGTCGTGGAAGATAATAATTAGAGTAACCAAATTTCCAAAAATAAAACCAGGACACATTAATTTTGAATATATTTGCATATTTATTAATGCTAATCCACAACTTCAAGTATATGTGTAGGCAGAATTGGGCACCATATCTGCAAACATCCAGACAACCACTAGAGGATAGGGGGGGAAACCCAGTAGAAAACTCTATTTGCTGCCATCTAGTGATAATCTAACCTTTTGCAGCCCAGATATGGTAAATGTCTATGGCAGGGGTCTGCAAACCTGGCCCTTTTATGATTTGTGGACTTCAACTCCCAGAATTCCTCAGCCAGTGTGCCTGGCTGAGGAATTCTGGGAGTTGAAGTCCACAAGACATAAAAGGGCCAAGTTTGAAGACCCCTGGTCTATGGAGATTCTCAATTCAGTTCTGGTTGTATAGTGGGGAGTGTTCTGAAGAAACGTCTTGGGTGAGAAGTGAAACATTTTCAAGGAAAAAACCCCAAGAAAGTCCAGTTGCTTTTTGAAAAGCATCTTTGGCACACCCAGACATGGTAGCTCTAAGAACCATGAACAGTCAAATGTGCATGTTGATTTTTCCTGTGCCAGAACTTATACTGGTACGGCCACTGACCAGGCTGCCAGGATGTTGAGACTCTAGAAAGAGTACAGAGAAGAGCAACAAAGATGATCAGGGGACTGGAGGCTAAAACATATAAGGAACGGTTGCTGGAACTGGGTATGTCTAGTTTAACGAAGAGAAGCACGAGGGGGGACATTAGCAGTGTCCCAATATCTCAGGGGCTGCCACAAAGAAGAGGGAGTCAAGCTATTTTCCAAAGCGCCTGAAGGCAGGACAAGAAACAACGGATGGAAACTAATCAAGGAGAGAAGCAACCTAGAACTAAGGAGAAACTTCCTGACGGTTAGAATAATTAACCAGTGGAACAACATGCCTCCAGAAGCTGTGAATGCTCCAACACTGGAAGTTTTAAAGAAGAGACTGGACAACCATTTGTCTGAAATGGTATAGTGTTTCCTGTCTGAGCAGGCGGTTGGACTCGATGACCTCCAAGGGCTCTTCCAACATTATTATTATTATGGATCATCGCACAGTCAGCCAGATGTTCAGACTGGATTTGGCATTTTGTCTACCTATCGAGTCCTTACCAAGGACCTGGGATAGGCAGATGTGGATATTTGATGGTATTACAGATATCGTCGCAGGATGAAAGTAGTTCCTAGTAAGGCCGCCTTTTGCAATTGACTAATGGCGAATTTGTCAGTGCCAATGGTGTTCAAGTGGTGCTCAAGTTGTTTTGGAATTGCACCCAAGGCGCCTATTACTATTGGTACTACCCTTGCTTGCTTTTGCCACAGTCTTTCTATTTCTATTTGTAGGTCTTTGTATTTTGTTATCTTCTCCAGTTCTTTCTCATCTATTCTGCTGTCTCCAGGCATTGCCACGTCCACTATCCAGACTTTTTTGTCTTTCTTATAATTATAATTATTATTATTATTATTTCTAATCACACCCCAGATAGGTGAGGTCTTGTCACGCCCAGGGCCAGGATTTATTCTTTTCCCTCTCTCAAATTTTGAGCCAGTTGAATGGCAGGTATAACGGTGTTACATTTATATTAGAGCTTGTAAAGCAGGTATACAGCGATTCCTGTCTCAGAAAGATGGAAAACCATGCTGCATAATTTGGCAATTATGCCACTGAATTTTACAAGCCAAAACATGGATTTCATAGCTTCACACAGTTCAATTTGCCCATTCCTTTATTGAAGGAATAAAGTACTGAAGGAATATGCAGAAGGCTGCAAAGAAAAAAAATCCTTATTTTCAATTTTTATTCAAATATTAGCAATATTACTACTGGTAATATTTGAATAATGCTGGAGTGCTGAAGAGACTTTTCAGGGGTTTTAGGAGGTGAGGTGCTTTGGGAGGTGTTTTTTTTTTTTAAGGTGAGTCCTTAAAAAACATGATTTCACCCAAATTATCGGGAGGTGGGGAACGAAGGCACAATTCAAAGTGAAGAGGACTTTGAAAATGATGTTTTGTAGGATCCTGAGTTTCCTTGGGAGCTATTCAGTTTTACTCAGGGACAAAACTGTTCACACAGTTCACTCTCAGTTCACACAGGGAGACTGCCAGATCCAGAAAGTCTGGCATGTGTCATGGATGCACTAGGTCAGGGGTAGGCAACCTTGGCTCTTTTATGACTCGTGGACTTCAACTTCTAGAATTCCTGAGCCGAGTTGAAGTCCACAAGTCATAAAAGAGCCAAGGTTGCCTACCCCTGCACAGGTTGCCTACCCCTGCACAGGTTGATGCTCTCTCATGCATCCAGCCTCTTCCCAACGCACAATTTCTTCCATGTCTCAGGTGCAGGAATTTCTTAACAGACAGGGAAACTCTGAAACAGTTTTTGATTGTTTTTATCTACTAGAGATGAAAGGCAGAAATAGAGTTTACTTTCTGATAGAATATCTCATAATGTCCAATGTAACTCTGTATCTCAAAAGCAAATCTGACAGAATTTAACTCAGTAATACATCTCTATATATGTTCTTGTATCCTATCCAAAATTTGAGTTCCCCTTAACATAAAGTCTTAATATTCTGGCTCTAAAGAATCTGTTAAATCAAAATAAATATTCAAAAGCTTGGATAAAACTTACAACTTTGAATCTTATCTTAAGATATATACTTTGTTTACTATACTGGTAATATTTATGTATTACTTGGATTTTAATAACCATCTGTAGTTTTTTAAATGATATAATATGCTCATGAATTACATGAATCCAATTAATGAAATATTGAAAATTTTAATCTTATTTATGACACTTATAAATTCTGTTTACTAACTCCTTGTTTTAACTTTCTGAATTTTCCTCAGCTTTTTTTCTCTTCTTTCTTTTTTCAAATTCTTAATAAAATGTCATTTTAAAAAATGAAAACCACTGCAGTAAAAGCTCCTTAGCTTTCAAATATTAGAAACCTTACCGCTCACTGTTGCTTTGTTTCAAGAACTCAGAGGAGACGCGTCTCTAACTAACATCAGTCTTTGATAAACATTTGATTTGGAGGCATTCAGTGGAGGATACATTTACGTGGCCGTTGTTTTTGAAATTAAATAGGAGTATAAATAGCTGTGTTTTGTTGAAGACTCCTTGCAGGGATGTCTTAAGTTTTGAGATGTGTGAATGAGCAAGTGGGCGAAAACCCCCTGCAGAGAAACAAGTTCTCTTTTGGAAAACAGAGAGGTATAAGGAGAGAAACTGCTTCAAATGTTTTTACCATTTTCTAGCAATGGCCAGAAACGAATCTTTGTGGATTCCAACTACTTCTGTCTAGAGATATTGGTTTCACCTTATTGCACAATATGTTCTGATGAAAGTATTCTTAAGACAGTCTACTCTTTTGGGGTACATGTCCTTTGGATAAAAACAGTAATTCCGGTTCATTCTTTTGATTCTTGAAATATCCTCTTCTAGAGAGAATAGATAGGGTTTCATAAAAGGCTTCTAATTTTTCTGGGAAGAGATAGATATGTTAATCTGAAGGGCCAGAGAATGGAGAGGCTGATTGAGGACCACAAGGTGTATCCTTTAGAGCAGGAAAAATAATGTTAGCATGATTTCTATAGGAGGCAGATTAAGGACGGGGAGGTAATAACTCACCCCTGTGCTAATTCCTGATTCAAGTCTTCTCTTTTTCTGCCAGGCCTGCTGTGATTTACCCTCCTTGGGGATGAACAGAGTGCCTCCTGGTCGCTGACAACTCCAGCATTCACTGCAGGATGGCCCAGCTCATCCATGCCCTTTGGAGCCTGTGCATCACCACTGTCCTTGTCACATCAGCCACACAAGGTAAGGGCAGTGCTTTTTTTGTAAAAAAAAAAAAAAAAAAAAAAAAAAAGGTGCCGAAACTCACATACGTCATACAACCCGCCTTGCCTACCCTACAACAGACATGTCAAACACAAGGCCCAGGGGCCGGATGCGGCCCGCAAAGTGGTTTCATGTGGCCCGCAAAGCCATCCTGGAAACAGTGAGGGAACGGCCCCCACTGCCTTGGCCTTGGCCCAGGCCAGTCGGGATCCAATGTACAATTTTGTGGTGGCCATCTATGCTGAAACGCATTCAGTCTTAACTCCACAAGGCCATCTGGAAACAGTGAGGAACCAGCCCCTGCTGCGTTGGCCCCACCTCTTGGGTGCATGCTGGGAGGTGTCACCCTTTGTGAGGAATGAAGAAATGCACCATCACCTGGAAGTGGCCAGCAAATGGCCCTCACCTACTTCACATATCCGGCTTGATGTAGAGCTGGCCACGCCCACCCAGTAGGCCACACCCACTCCATCCATGCCCACCCAGTAGGCCGCACCCACCCTGGCTACACTCACCCGCCCCCCCGAGGGCAACCGCAATGCTGATGCGGCCCTCAATGAAATTAAGTTTGACACCCCTGCCCTACAAGGTTCCATCCAAAAAAGGTGTCGGAATTCCGTTCTGGGTGTTCTATGACAAAAAAAAAAGCCCTGCGTAAGGGGAACAGAGGATTGACATCCCTCAGGAAGGAGGACAGCTTCCAAAACAGGGCAGGCCTTGCAATGAATTAATTCATGAGCCTGCGCCACCCGATGCTAGAAAAAGCTGAGGAAGAGAGACATTTTCTTTTCTAGACAAAATTAAAAAATGTGAATTCTGTTGCAATTTCTGAAATAAAACCTTTTATTTTCCTTTCACAATAAACAGTAAAAAGAATTTTAGAATAGTGTTTAGCAACTTCCCTTGACAATGTCAAAATATTTTCTAATTAAGTACTAAAAATGGGACTGCTTTATTTAGAAATGCACAATGTTTACAGTTGAAATTTCTGTCTCTTTGTCTCCTGTATATAGGTACCTGATCAAATTGTATTTAATATCACATCTTCCTAACTAGTAAGAAGAGGCTACTTGCCTCTACTAATTGCAAAGGAGATCCTGGTACCATGGCAGTGCTCTGAATTCCAGTTCTAAGGTCCTGGGGTGGGAAAACATGAGCAGCAAAATGGATGAGCATGCTAACATTATAAATCTTGTAAGCAAATAACCTGAAGCTGTTTTTGGGAGACCTAGTTCTAGAAATAGATGGTTAGATATGCTCATTGTGGGGTAACACATTTTTCTGCAAAATTAGCAGGCTATTTTGGTGCTCATACTAAATTTATACACCTGGAAGGTTTTTGGACATTTTTAGCAACTACTATGACTGCTATCTTTTTTTTTTTCTGGTAGGCATCCCTTACTTGTAAGAAGCATAGAAAAAGTGAACATTAAGAAGGAAACCTTGTCTAGCAATGAGTTTCCAACCAAAGCCTTTTTAGACAGCTGAAAAGAACTGTCTGGTAAGAGAATCCGGAGGAAAAAAAGAGACCAAGTTTTTTTTATTATCAAATCTTGGACAAGGCAGATGGGGAGAAAAATAACTACTCTTGTTCCTCAGCTGATGCCTATCTTCTGTTTTTATGCTTGTTGAGCCTTCCAGTCATGTTTCTTTTCATCTTGGCAAATGAAAAATCAACAAATATTTTAGCTCATCCTGTCATACACATTTTCCCCACATTAGAGCAGCTTTCTCAGATTTGGCACCCTCCACATATGTTGGGCATTCCGGTAAGGATGACTGAAATTGTAGTCCATTGCAGTACATCTAAAAATCCTAGATGGGATAAAGTTGGAAAACAAATAGGTTGATTATTAATACATTTCAACTTTTGGCTAGGTATTAATTGCTTTCCAAAATACCCTCACATGTTGCTCATACATGTGATATACGATCAGTGTACAGTGGATATTAAGAACAGGAATCCTGGTTATCAGAATAACAATTGGAAGGGATCTTGGAGATCTTCTAATCCAACCTCTGCTCAGGCAGGAGACTCTATCATTCCAGACAAATGGCTACCCAGTCTCTTCTTAAAAGCTTCCAATGATGAAGCACCCATAATTTCTGGAGGCAAGTTATTCCACTGGCTAATTTTTCTTGTTATCAGGAATCTTGGAGGTCTTCTAATCCAACCTCCTGTTCAAGCAAGAGACCCTATACCAGTGATGGCGAACCTTTTAGAGACCGAGTGCCCAAAAACCTGCCCCCGCTCCACCTCCTATCCTGCCTACTCCGCCCCTGCCTGCTCCCTGCCACAGCAGATCGCCCAGGTAGCCCTGCAGCGCCATGGCAGCCATGCCCTCCGCCCACACCCTGCAGCATCATCTACACGCTATGGAGCGCGACAGTGGAGTCTTGTCCCTGCTGCCCAGCTATCCCCTTGGCTGCACTGCTCCGTGTATGCCACACCCGGGGGTGACTCTCCTCCAGGGGGGCTGCTGGGGAGGAGGGGGCTGCGAGGGAGGCAGGGCTGGGGTGACGGCGTGCGTGCCCACAGAGAGGGCTCCGAGTGCCGCCTCTGGCACGTGTGCCATAGGTTCGCCACCACTGCCCTATACCATTCCAGGCAAGTGGCTATCCAGTCTCTTCTTAAAAGATTCCCCTCAAGTTCTGGAGGCAGGTTGTTCCACTGGTTAATTATTCTAACTGTCAGGAAGTTGCTCCTTAGTTCTAGGTTGGTTCTCTCCTTGATTAGTTTCCACCCATTGCTTCTTGTCTTCTTCAGCTTTGGCCTGTCCCCATAGATTTTACGTCTTTCACATCCCCATAACTGTCTGAACAGGGACTGGCATGCAGAAAAGTGCAGTAAAAGTTATCAGCTTGGTTTCAAAGAAAAAGGGGAAAATGGGTGAGGATGTAACAGGTGCTCCTTAGAATAAGGTATGATTTCCTATCATTCTTTGTATTTAGTCCTGCTTACATTAAATGGGGAGGAGACTGTTCTTCAGTGATTATATGGCATTTCCACATTCAATTTTATGTAATTTTAAGTATTTTCTGCTTTTGGAAACAGACATCCCATATCCCTCAAGTACTATTTCAACTCTACGGTTCCTAGAGGGGAAGGAGTGGCAGAAGAAGTTTTATTATTTTTTTAAAAAATGGATCCACTTATCACCATCTGCCTCATATTTTAATCTTTTAGACTGGTGATTTTCACTAGTGAGAATAGAGTTGATTAGAAGTCTCAGACTCCTGCCAAGAGAAGAATGGGCATCCACAGTCTGAGAGTACAGGGTGACTATATTTGTCTAGATCAGGCAACCTCTTTTATGACTCATGGACTTCAACTCCCAGAATTCCTGAGTCAGGAATAAAAGAGCCAAGGTTGCCTACCCCTGGTCTAGATCAGGGGTATCAAACTCAATTTCATTGAGGGCCGCATCAGCATTGCGATTGCCCTCGGGAGGCCGGACGGGTGTGGCCAGGATGGGTGCAGCCTACTGGGTGGGCGTGGACAGAGTGGGTGTGGCCTACTGGGTGGGCGTGGCCAGCTCTACATCATTCGCGTCAAGGGTGCCTGTGAGGGCCTGGGCTGAAGTGGGACAGATATGAAGGTCTCTGGCAGAAGGGGGTGGGACCAGGCAAGTGCCAAGGCATGGTCCACTGGAGGAGCCTCACTGTTCCTCTCAGGCCATGCAGGGAGGGTTGGATGATGGCACGGGCTGCCCAGAGCCCTGGGCAGCAGAGGTCAAATGCCCAGCGTGGCCCTTGAGCACCCATGGCACCAAGCCCAGCCCCACTTCCCCAAAGGGGCGCCCAGCTGCACTTACCTCCTCCTCAAGGCTGCTGCTGCTGTGTTTGCTCTCCTTAGCCAGGTTGCTCATGATGGGTACAAGGGCAAAGTCAGAGGGAGGCCCATTCCCTCTCCATGGGAGGAGACCCAGCTTTGTATCCAAAGCTTCCTTAGCAATAGGATGGGAGACTCCAGGATAGGCCTGGAGGAGGGGGCAAGGGGATGGTAAAAGGGCAGCAGGGCAGGACTAAGGCAGGACTTCCCTCAGACCTTCCCTCTCCTTCTTTCCTTCCTTCCTTCCTAAGTACAGAGTGGTGGGAAAATATTTGAGATGGGGGAGGGAGAAAAATAGGCAATAAACGCAGCTCAGCATGCACCCAGGGTGCGGGGCCGATGCGGCAGGGGCTGGTTCCTCGCTGTTTCCAGACGGCCTTGTGGAGCTAGGACTGAATGCATTTCAGCATAGATGGCCACCACAAAATTGTACATTGGCTCCCGGCTGGCCTGGTAGTGGTAGTGTCAGTTTGTATGCCTAAGTAAAGAATTTGAGGTAGTCTCACTTTCCCATTTGCACCTGTATGCTTTTCACTTGACAATTTGGATTCTGGAAAAAAATAAGAAAACTGCTTTAAAATAGGCTTGGTCATTATAATACTGAGTACATGCAACTTGTTAAAGCCTTTCTGATGTCTACTCTAGTTGTTTGTTTTAGTATCATAGTCAGATGCTTTGACTGTGAGTTGATAATTGTTACCTACCCTGAGCCTTTCAAATATTGAAAACTTTTATGAAACAATAAACAAAACTGAAGAAATATTTATTAGAATCATTATATCTAAGTCTTGTCTTTTGTGAAAAGATTTGAATGCCAAAGGCAGATTATTATGGGAGTTTTCAAACTCTGTGAGTTTTCTTAGGTTTCTGTATGAAAGATTTTAAATGAGAGATAAAGCTGGAGAACCCTTCTCCCATGCATCAGAAAGAGAACCTTAACTTAGTTTAAAACAGGAAATCTTTTTGGAAACAAACCTTAAATCAGTTTTAAATCATGGACTCAAAGGCCTGTGTTTTAAATCAAGATCCTTGCTTAGTATATAAAGCTATAACCAGATTAAAATGAAATTTCTTTTATATTCCTCTTGCTATCAGAAAAAAATTTCTTTGGCATTCACTGAGCAAGAGATGTGAACCTATCCAAATG